GGAAAGAGTCCTCTGAAAATAAATGGGACTTGATAGATTTCCATATCATTTATAACTTCCCTTAATTACACTTGGAAGACTTGCCAGTAAAACTGGAAAATTGGCAGCCTATATCCATTATAGTAATTTTGCCGACCATGGCAAGCAGCTGGCTTTACTGGATTTTATTTCCCATCACTCACAATTAATCATCAGCTGGAGATGTCTGAAACTCCTCAAAACGTAGCAATACTGTGTGACATTCAGGCCTCCTTAAAATGCTAAAATCTGCTGAGTAAATGGGCCGAGTTCCCCTTCCAGGGAACTCATTTTGGTGCGAGGCAGGCTGCCGGTTAATGAGTGCCACTTCGATAATCGGATGCGAATGTGAACCCTGACCCCGTGTCAAAGGAGGGGACGCGGCAAGCTGGATAAAGGATAGGGGATTCAGACCTGCAAACTTTACACCAATTAGACAGCGGGGAAATACATCAGCGCTGATTTGGTTTATCAGAAAGACTTGGCGGGGCTTGTGACCATTTTGTAAGCCTAACATTGAAGACGTCCTGTCACAATCATTAAGTCTTTATCAGATGACGCACAGAAGTCTGAGAAAAGGGTACCGCACTCACAAAGATCCCGTGGTAGCGATGCCCTCGGGTGCGCGCTGTCTTTTTGTGGCTCCGAGTTTTAAAGAGACCTGTCTGTAAGTGCAATTAGTCTTTATGGTCCTCCTGTAGGTGCAATGGAAACGGCTCGGGGTGGCTGCTTCTCGTGTCATGAGTTGCTTGGTCGGGAAATGACTGGAGACAGTTCCCTGTCCTGCGTGTAACCTTTTGGCCGGAGGAGATAACAGCCACCGTGCAGACCCCAAGTTATGCAAACAGTGCTGCTATTGACTGTTCCCAAATTCACATCGGAATTGTTAGCAACAAGTACCCTCCTCTTCAGTGTTTTTTTTTTTTTTCCCTTCTTTTTTTTTCTTTTTCTTTTTTTGTTTCTCCTCCATGCTGTGGAGGACAAAGCTGAGCAGATGCTTTGAACTGTGCCATGCAGAAATAAACTACTAAAACACAGACTGCAGCTCTAACAGTTAATCACTCATTTATTTTGATATTCCGAGCAACGTAAAGGTAGATTTTCCTGTAGCGTAACCCTCTGAGAAGGATACCCGAGTTTTATTTCTTTTAAGAAAAGGAGCCCTTTTATTTTACTTGATTCCAATCAATCAGATTTTTTTGTTTGATTTTATTAGCCTGTTTTGACAGATTTGGGTCATCACTGAGACCTCTCTAAATTGAAATGTAAAGATGGTGGTTTACATTGGTTGCCCATCCACTGAAAGAAATAAATTGTACGATGAAAATGGTCCAGATAAATCCTTAAATAAGTTAGAAAGCAAGAACTCGTACCCATTGCTGCAGTTTTCATTTGCAGGCTAAATAACAGGCAAAAGGATATGTGCAATTATGGAATGAAAGAAATTGGACAATGCCCAAAAGACTGAAAAAGAGAAAAGGGAGATACAAGTGCCTAATTTTAGGATTTGTCGCTGTGCAACACAATGAGTAGAGCTGTAAAGGTTTAACATAAGACCAGTAATTAAACTTCTGTGCTTAAGTGACACTTTCACCAAGGTAATTTTCAACAGATTGCACATCATCGGAAGTACTGACACAGCATTTTCACACGTGGTTCGTGCCGCAAGTGCCTCCTTCCTTCCAAATTAGTAAGACGGGATGTTAACCGGATACTTTGTCTGTGTATTTTGTGGGTTGGGTGGGTTATTTCTTTCCCAGGAACAGCTTCCTTGGTCATCAACCCGTCAGGCATTATATAAGATACAAAACCTTTATTTTTGAGAAAGGGGCTAAACTGAGGAGAAATTCAGATTCACGGACACTTCCATGCCACAGCCATTAATGTCTCCTGGCACTTAAGATCTACACAGACCATTCTGTGCTTTTCCAGTAGATGTATTTCCAGAACCCTGTTTAGATAACTGCAAACTGGTTCATTCTGCGCACCATCCACCTGATGAAGCCACGATACGCTTTGGCAAACTGGATCACGCTGAGGCTCGAGAGGAGAGCTTCTCGTGTCCTTGACGCTAGGCCACTCAATTCAGCTCTGCACTCCTTAGCATCTCAGTCCTCGGCGACCTTTAGAGGCCCATGTTCTCGGCGTTGCGGTAGCCGAGGTTAACGGGAGGATGGCAAATTTGTTTCTGAAATACGCTATAGAAAAAAAACCCCGACGTCTCCAACAAACATTCTTGCCTTTTTTTTTGTTTAAACAGTTTCATAGCTTTCTCTTAACCTCAGAAATGTCTGGAAGGTTCAGAGTGGGTGGAAGAGCTGAGCAGGGAGGTAGGGAGAAGAAGAGGAAAAGCAGGGAGAGGAAAGAAAGAGCTGCTGCTGGGGCAGGCAGAGCAGGTGTGGAAGGAGGGAGACAAAAGACAGGGAAATGGAATAGAAGGGAAATAACTGGGGACAAAGAACAAGTCTTTGATACTCTTCACTGAATTTGACACTGCTAATGACTTAAGTGCTCACCTGAGGCTTGGAATGGGATTTCTGCAGGTGAAGTTGGGTGTTGGTTATTCTCCTGTATCCGGTTAGCGCACCATGTTCCCACAGCAAACGCTTTCCTTATTCACCCCAAAAAGTCCATCACACTGCTGTTGGCAGTCTGGTGGAGAAATGGTGTGTAAGCCATTACACACCTTTAACGTCTTTTCTTCTGTCTTGCTCAGAATCCATAGGCAGACATCAGTGCTTCTCAGGCACTGCTTAAAATGTACAGTTGACCTTAGCCAAGAGTAGCACTGGGAAGTGCTTAACACTAGTGCACGCTTCAGAAAAACACACCTTTGTTTAAATTTTCAGAATGTGCTTCATGCAATGTGCATTTGATCTCTGACTTCACACCTGTCTGATAGACAGTATATTCCTCCAAAGTGGTACACACTTGTCCTTAAATATGTATTATTCATTTTACGTATATTTAGAGAAATATATATGTGTGTGTGTGTATATATGTATATAAACAAACACATTTTGAGGCAACTAGCGCATGTAGACCAGACCTCTGTGGGTCTCAAATTATCTTCTTTAACAGAATTTTGACATCAGAGTGAAAGTATCCCAGATTTGCTGGGATAATGAGTGAACGGCAGGCTACATCTGCGAAAGAGCCTAATGAAGAGACTTGCAGTGGGCACCGGGAGCCAGGCACCCCAGCGGGCTGCACCTGCACAAGTCCTAAATACGGGCAGCAGGGCCCGGCGCCCTTCCCTCTCCGGCGTACATCGTCTTCATGGGATGACTGGCTGATCGCTGGGCTACATGGGGGATAAATTCTGAACCCCGTGTTTTTCCCCTCCTGGACAGGCAGGCCCTCTTGAGCGGCTCTTTGCTCTGCCCAGCGTGGCCCAAGGTGCTGGAGGGAGGATCTGACTGGGAGGCACGAGGAGCCCAGCAGAGCAGCCCAGTGGGTTCCTGGTGACCTTGGGCAGAGTGCAAAACAAGTAGAAAGAGGAAACTTGAATGTTTCCATTTAAAAGCGATCTGCTGTTGGGGGAAATGATGGTTTTGCCTCTGCAATGCCTCCCCCGTGGATGAGACTTGATGGCTCCTCGCAGGCGTGCTCCCTTCCGAAGTCATCGCCTGCCACCCGGGTACTGCCGTGCGCAGAGGTGTGACTTTCTGCGCAGCCCCTTGGCTGTTGCTGGAGTTTCCAGCCCCTGCCCGCCCGGACACGTGCCAAGAAACTTTTGGCTTCTGAATCGGCATTGGTAGCCACAGGATCTGCGCCAGGGAAAGCAAAGCAAAGGCTCCCGGGCCAAAACTGCGTGAAGTAAATTCTGCTCTGGCTTTAATTGATCCTGAACTGTGGTGGATGTGAAACACGAACTGTAGAGGTTGGAGCTGAGTGGATGGGCTGGAAGAGGAACCTTTCAGGTTTGCCTGGGCTGATGGTTTTAAGTAGGTGATTCCTTTTTCCCCGTGTTGCTGCCAGTCTGTCAAAGGCAACTGTGATCTGTGATTGTGGTTTGTGTCATGACTGTACAGCTGGCCGACTTGACTTGTGCCATGGAAGTCTTTTTAGCATTTAATGAAATAATCCCTTTATTTTCCAGAAGCATCATACACACTTAGAGCATTTCAAATCCGCTATCCTCATTGTGTACCGCTTTAATTTTACCAGGTTTCAGAAGGTCAAGAGATTTGTGTAATTGAAGCAATGAAAATGCAGAACAGTATGATTGCTGCTAAAACAGGCAAGGTAAGCTACCTTGGGTCACTTAAAACCATATGAAACTTGTCAAATAGGATGGAATTTAAAAAGGAAAAGAGGAGGATTCTGGTTGTTACGGAATTAAGTCTGATTGTTCTAAGTCTTTCGAAGTGAGGTGTCTTTAATTTTTAACATTTGCATCTGCTGTGAATGCTGTTAAGTAGTTCCGAGCCTTAGATAGCACAGCAGGAAATAGTTTTACTGGCTTCAGAAATGCATATAACTCTTTTTCTCCTAAATGATTTGTTTTCTATGATGTTTCAATGACAAGCTGAATTGAAACATGTTGCAGACCGTCTCTCCAAATTCCGTATTTCCAGAGAGCAGCTGAAGAAGAGATCTCTCTTTGCCAGTTAATTCATTAGTGGCAAACAATTTGACCTTAAAAAAAACCCACTCAGAACAAGGCACAGAAAGTGCTTTTGCAGGAAGATGAGAAAAGCAATTTTTTTTATTACTGTGACTGTTAAACGTGAAGCCTAGATCTGCAGTCGCGTTAAGCTCTGCAAGGCTGCGCGCTGTGGTATCTGCCTTCTAGGGAGATCAGCGTTGCAGCCCCCGAGCTGCGACTCTCCTCCTGCCCTGCAGGACGTACCAAAACCAGCACTCTGCGCGGGGAACTGGTTAAGCTGATACGACAGGGTCATTCCTTAAACCTCCCCTGGTCTGGGCACTGTCAGCCCCTAAATCAGAGCCTCAGAGCATCCCTGTGCCAGTTTATAATTCACAGCTCGAAACCATCCACTAGACACGGGCCCCTGATCCATCCTTTTCAAAAGGAGAGCAGAGTCTGGACCTGGATTATGTATTTCCTAGCCCGTCCTAACCCGTTCTTTGCCTGGGGACCAGCCCCTCTGCCCTCCTTGAAGCACTGCCATTTTGCCATTAAAAACAAAACCGCCCCCAGTGCGCGATCCCTTAGCCCAGAGGGAGGCAGCAAGGAGCCTGACTTGCCGGGGCACAGGCTAGGTTAGCTGCTGGCAAGATTTGCCGAGATCTCAGGACGTGTCTCTATGCCAAGGACTGTTTGTCTGTTTACAAGAAAGGTTTATTTGGCACAGCACTAAAATTGTCACAGAGGCTGGGACCCAGGGCTTGCCTCTTCCAGTACATCTAGTGCAAAATTGGGTCTTGAGGGAAAAAAATTGCAGAGAGAGGGAGAACGTACCTTCTCCTGTTGCTCTAACATTGCCACTTTATTACTTTCTTTCATGCGTTAATTCCTATATAATTTATTTTTTCACTTGATTAGTATTTCCTAGCATTTATTTTTTCATCCTTGCTTCTTTTGTTTAACCCCTTATTGCTGCTCTTTGCACCCACTGATTTTAACTAGTGAGTATTCGTCATTTAAAATGCCATTCCCCCTCCCAACCACCCCTTTTCATTTTTCACTTTAACCTTCCCTTTCCCACCAAGGTGTGCCGCAACCTGTGGGCCTGTTCCCTAAAACCCTGCTTGCACTTCTCCAAATAATAAATCTCTCCCACTCGGTCTGTACAGATGCCACGTAAAACCCACGCTTGGCTTATTAATCCTTCAAAGTGGCATTTGAAAGGTGCGCAGGCCATTCATGCACAGACCCTTGACATCTCCATTTTAATAATGAACAAATTATTTGGTTCTTTAGAGTTTTAAGAATTTGAGAAAGCAAAAAAGTTTTGGGCTGTGTGGAAATGAAGCTGCTAAACAGAATTCATCGCTTTCTGAGTGCTAAAATAGCTTGGCCCCTCCACAGGAATGGGATGTTTGGTACTGGCTGTCAGTCCACTTTTCGATGCTTTGAAGCCGTGTTTTGAAACTCAGTCCGTTTGTCTTCAGCTGGAAGACGTTCCCGTTTTCATTCCCAGCTGAATTCTTTTGCTGCATCAAACCCCATCTTCCTGTTTGTAATTGTGAGAGAAGTGGCTTGTTTTTATCTACTTTGAGTTTACTCCAGCTGCAGGTGGTTTAAAAACGAGGGAAAACTGGAGAGGAACTGGGGGGCCTCCTGTCTCCTGCGGGACAGCTGCAAGAGCTTGCGACACTGGTCAGCTACAAGGTTCGCTGCACCTTGGCTTTGTAGAAAAAGAAAAGAAAGAAGTAGAGTCACACTGCTTTCATGTCTTAAAAGATTGAGACTCGGGAATCGGGTAGGCTGCCTAGCTTTATTTCTAAACCAATAGCCCTTTTTTGTACATCTCACGGCGTCTTCAGCTTCGTTTCTTGAGCAATGCTGTGAGGGAGACGCTTACAGCTCATGTGGCTTTAGACCATCAAACTCGGACACGGGCAATGGCGTAGCCATAGTAGCCTGGTATTTCGGGTACGCTGCAGGTTTCCTTTAGGAGCCCAGGGTAACGTTTAGATGACTAAACCGAGCTAACTGCTGAACAAGGTTTTGACCGAGGATTTGGGCATGTCAGTGTGAGCGCTGAATTAATATGGCAAGCAAACTCTAGTATACGGCTTCAAATGTCTTCTGGAGCTCCGTGTGCTGAAAGGGAATTCAAACACATTACAGCCTTTTATAGAGGAAATGAAGGACTAGTAGAAGATGCTTGTGTGTTAAAATTCAGGAATCTACACGCGAGCATATGCTTCATCTACAGGTGTAGCTGAATGTATTTGACAGTGGTAGCCCTTTGCCAGGTTCAGTTACATTAAAGGTTCCCAATTCAGATTTGAATCAATCTATCCTGGCTGTCTGGGGATTGAGGGAAACCCACTTCATGGCTGCAGTCCCCAAATTAAGTTATACTTAAAACCTGCAACGCAAGAAATACTGGAATATTTCATTGAAACGTCCAAGCGTGAAGTGTTGAAGACTCAGCCTGTCCTTTAAAAGATTTAAACTTTTAGTAGTAAACGAATGGCAGTGCGAACAGGTGCAAGACAGGTGCTTTTTAATTTTTAAAAGAAGTGCCATCTCCATCTGATGTTCAGGTCTTCAAGCACCTAAGTCATAAGAAAACCAGCTAGTGGTAGGTGCCTAAATACCTTGATGGAGTTGGACACGATTTGGCCAAGCACCGGAGAGGTGGTGGCAGTCTCCATTCTCAGAAATACTCAAAACTCAGCTGGACTCTGAACACTGGAGGTCGAGCTGTCAGCCTCTTGAGGCCCTTCCAACGAACATGCATCTGTGATCCCCGTGGTGGTCAGAATGTCGCATAGTGGCCGTTTAGCCTGTGCATACAGGTGTGATACTCTATACAAACGGCGTCAGTCAAACCATTTATTTAACCATGTTATTGAGGAAGGTTTGAAAATTATTTCTATTTCTGTACTCAGGTGAAAGCTGTGCACTGCAAAGCTGGTGATACCGTTGGAGAAGGAGATCTGCTGGTGGAACTGGAATAAAAGCTTGCGTCCACACTGTTGAATTAGCTAAGCCTTTATTATTTCCATCTGTAAAGTAAGATTAAGGCAATTCAACAGAAAGTGGACAGTCCTATGCGCAAGATTTTATACAGTCGTATTTATTGTATCAGTGGTTAAGACAGCAAACACAGATGTTAAACCTTGGCAAGAGATCCCAGATTTTTACTTCCAGAAATACTTGTACATAACCTTTGTAATTCTTTCATTTTTCAGGATCAAATAAAATCAATAAAATACTATTTCTGCTTTAAAACAGGAAAAGCCTCTTCTTTTAAAAAAGAAAACACAACAAAAGCCCAAATCAGATTTGTCTTCTCCATGGTAGTATCACCGGTTTGAGGCCCCAGCCAAACTGTGCAGAATGGTTGGTAAGGGTGGAAAACTAACCACTGAGTGAACTGAGCAGTGTTCCTGCACTCTGTGTAAGCCCTGAACAAGTACTGCCCACGGCTTGAATTCTGATATTTTGAAGCCTTTGTTACAGACTAGATTTAAACTACAGGCTAGATGTTTTATTTTGCTAGTGCAGACTTTCCCCGTGTATTTTAATTTACAGTTGTTAGGGAATTTTCTTCTTTTATTGAGAACTCCATACTCAAATTTCCCCCTGCTTTATCTTCTTTCTGTTGATTACTGGATGCAAGTCTTTACAGAAGGAGCTGGCACCGTCCTTGGACCCCCTCAGCCAGCCCAAGGTATGGCTAGAGGCACCACTTGTCCCTCAGGCCAAGCCTCCTCCTGAACCCTTACTGGAAAGGGAGACCAAGTGTCTGAGCTTTCGTTGTGCCGAGGCTCTTACTAAAGGCTGTGAAGAACTTGGGCTGTTCATAATAGCGTTAACCATATCCTGTTGGAAGAGCTGTGTCTCCAGTATGGGAAACCAGAGAGGGCCTGGTGGGGAGATGTGAACAGAAGTGGGAGGGCTGGTGACTTGGTCAGAACAGGTAAGAAGATGTATTATTTCTCCTCCTTGCTCAGGAACTCGGTGCCATGGCACGGTGCAGATACCAGCAGTTTACTGGGTTCAGAGGGTTAGAGTGTGGTTAGCAGAGGCTCTTTCTTCCATCCATTGATCTAGCTCAGCAAGTCAGCGGCTGCAGCTCACCAGATACAGCGATACCTCTGCAGTCCCTGCACACTGTAAGCGTCATCTCTGTCCCCGTGCTCCTGCCTCCGCTGCTGCCTGCCGCTGGGCCAGGACGCTGGGCTACTCCTGCCTTTGGTCTCACCTCCTACAGCTGGGCTTTTTTTCTTTTTCACGTACCTCTAAGTCACCGTTCCTGCTGTGCCTTGACCACTGCCCCAGAGAGGAGGGGCCCTGCTCTCATTTCCTTGCCTAGGATGAGTAGAGTTATGCTACTTCCCAGAAAAAAACCCTCTGGCCAGAAGAGCTTGGGTCCTTTACCGGAAGGTGAAGTACAAAAACAGTCTGTGACAGGGCTGGTGACTCATGTTCAACCAGAAAGGTTCATTCTGCTTGAAACTTTTGATTGAAGAGGCATTTTTTTCATGTGATTGAGAAGCTGCCAACTAAATCACACAGCCAAGATGGAATAATGTAGTACAAGGATCTGCTTTGTTAATTAGTTAGTTTATAAAACCCACCAAGATGAGTAAGGAGAGTGTTTGGGTAGTACCTGCCCTGCTTTTGGAGTTGGAGAAACTGAGGCAGACACCCTGCAGATCTTCCTACAGATCTCCTTAATGCCATCTTGCCCCTTCAAAAAGGAGCACAGTTCAGCTTCTGCAGATTGCCTTAAACTAATAATAATTAAAAAAAAAAAAGTATGGTGAAGAGACATGACTATTCTACTTGACAATTATTTAATCTGCCTACTGCAGCAACACAAGCTTTCTGTCTGTTTTTCTAAATGAGATGCAGCAGTGCCTGTTACTGGTAAGTTTAGGCTGATTCCTTACCCGGATCCCTGGGCTGATTCCCTACCCCAGATCTCCTTCGGCCATCACAGGGGCTGCTGGCAATGAAGCGAAAGTGCAGTATTGTTCTTAGTATCCTTAGTACATTTAATTGTACTTTGGCTCACTGCATGGCATACATTCCCCGCTCACAATCTATATGTACCAAACACTGCCTTTCAAAGGAAATAGAAGGCACAGTAGCATACCAGCAGAAAGCCACGATTTTCCCAGATTGTACAGAAACCAGCACAGTTGGTTGGGTCAGGGGGACAATAGTCTTCTCTACATCTTTTTTTTTTACCCCCAGTTTAATGTTGCAATAATTACACTATGGGTCCTTTGGATATTTTTTTATAATGTATATAAAATGTTTCCCCTGGTAAGAAATTCAGTTTGCATATGGTTTCAAGTTCTGCCTTAAAGTGCTTGGCTAAAAGTCACCTTGATTGTAAGTGCTCACAACATCTGCATCGGCTGTGGTGTGGCGGGCAGCTGAAATCAGGTTTGCTTTTCCCAGTCCCCAACGCCCGCCCCTACCCCCCAATCTCACAGTCACTCAGTGAACTGAAGTGGTACCTCAAGTGCTTAGAATGCTACATTAAAAATAAGATTTTAAATGTAATTTTCTTATACTAGTTTAATGTTTCTTCACAGTACCTTATAAAACTAAGTATGTTTTAAAAATACTCTTTTCCAGATCAGGAAAACATTGCAACACAGAGTAAGAATAGTCTTCAAATTTTCTCTATTTCTCAAACAATTAATATTTGTCTCGAAGTGCATAGTACCTATATGGTCATCTCTCCCTGTTTACATTCAGTAACCTACTAAACACCATGACAAGTCAACATTAAATGCAGGTTGTGCTTTACTTTGTTTGCAGACATGATTTTTTAAAAATCAGTTTCAGCTATTAGTGCAATAGTATCATCACTACTCCACCCATCTTGGAGAACTACACAAGAAAATTTGTCAATTCAGGTAAAAAAAAATAATAAAATTAGTCTGTTCACCTGCCTTTCACTGACCTCAGTCGTGCACTGAGGCAAAGCTAGACCCCAAAACTGATGTGCACACATAGATACAGTTATTTTACACCTCATGCAAACCCGGTTACTCGCAGCAGGTTAGCGGGGGCGAGGAGGACGCTGACTAGCCGGGGACGAGTGCCCATCTCTGGGCCTACAAGACTTCAGCACCAGCCTCAAGGCTCCCGGGTTGGGAAGGTTACAAGAGATCCTGTGTTTTAATAGAAGGGTATTACAGCTTTCCTGGAAAGGTTACCGATGGACACGTGCTTAGTACTACGTCTTCGACTGGGCTGCGTTATCTCCCGTTTCTAATCCCGGCTTTCGCGTAGGACGTAGGAGAGGCCGTGTTTCCCCGAGGAGTCGTAACTGTCATGGTAGGGGAGGCCGACCCACTCGGGTGGGTACGTTGTCGTGCTGTACACAAAGCACTCCACGACGCCTTCGGCAGCTGCCCGCGCCTCGCCCGCGCCGCCCTTCCCTTCCCACTCCACCACCTCGATTCTCATCAGGGTACGCTGGTACATGTCTGGGCAGCCTTCAAACTCATCCAGGAACTGCAGCATCTGGTCGTCAACTGAGTAAATCTCCCCAGCAACGTGGTGTCCTGTCCCTGGGATGTTCAGCATGTAAGGAATGTTGTATTTTCCTGCAATCACCAGCGGGTATTTCTCCACCGTGCGGCCCCTTCCTTGGAATTTCGCTAGCCCCTTGGCAGTGTTGATCATGTGCTTGTAGTTGGGCTGGCCCTTCTTAAGCGTGCCGTAGACAAAGACACGCGCCATCGTACCTGCAAAAACGGCTGAAAGACAAAGGCGTACGTTACCCACATGGCTGCTTTGGTCAACGCTCTGGAGAACCGCACCCGTGCTAAGACGCGTTGTACATGCAAGACTGTTCAGGCATGTGCAAAAGTGGTCTTGAAGCCCTACTCCTCATTTAAATATCACACTAAATTCAAAAATATCTCTTTAAAACTTTTCAGTCAAAAACTGTAACAACAGTGACAAACAGACACGAGGAGAAAGTCAGCCTTGTGGTTCTTTGCTGTAATCAAATGACATCCCATCGTTTCTCTAAGAAAGCCCCAACACCAGCCAACGCATCCCTGAGCCTTGGGAAAAGTGCTGAGCCTTTCTTCCTTCTGATTTTTTTTTAGCTCTCTCACCATTATGGGAGCCATCCCAGTGATGGAAACGAGCTCGATTTAGCATATTCTTTATGGTGGAAAAAAAATAATCATGCTTCAGTTCAGCTTAGCAGACACCTTCCTATGCCGCTCCACTGCATTTATTAAGGTTTAACAAGCCCAGGTCAAACCTGGTTGTTAAAACTTGCAGGAGTGAAGCCACAGTTAAGCTTGTTTTCCCTTTTTGAGGTGGGTTTTAAAGCCTGACGGACTTCGACACACACTACCTGGGAC